GACTGCCGCTTTCTACTTTATATGCTTCTACATTATTTGAAAGTGTGTCAGATATTGATTTTATAAGCTAAAAATTTCCATTTTAAGGGGGAAAGATTATCTACAAATACAATTTTATTAGAAGTGCTGTTTTGTGCTATAAAGAAGGTGATTCTCTCTCATTGGTGTTTCTATCTCCTTCTCCCTTCCTCTCTGAAATCAATAAAAACATATTTTTAAAAAATAAAAAAGAGCCGAAACCGGTTTGGCTCAGTGGATAGAGCGTCGGCCTGCGGACTGAAAGGTCCCAGGTTCGATTCCGGTCAAGGGCATGTACCTGGGTTGCGGGCACATCCCCAGTGGGGAGTGTGCAGGAGGCAGCTGGTCGATGTTTCTCTCTCATCGATGTTTCTAACTCTCTATCTCTCTCATTTCCTCTCTGTAAAAACTCAATAAAATATGTTTAAAAAAAATAAATAAATAAATAAATAAAATAATAAAATAAAAAAGAGAAGGCAATAAGCTGGCAGCTTCATTTTCAGAGAGTCCCCCCTCCTCCATGTAGTATGTCCCTGAAAATATGGTGAAAGTAGACTTCCTCCCAGTTTGATAAAATCCTATATAATAAAAGAGAAAAATGGTAATTGGCGTACGACGATACCCTTTTCATTGGCTAATCAGGGCTATATGCAAATTAACTGCCAACTCAGATGGCAGTTAACTGACAACAAGATGGCAGTTAATTTGCATATGTAGGCACAATGCAGGGAGGCGAAAGGGAAAGCAGGAAGAACCCCCCTGCCACTGACAGTGATCGGAAACCCAGAGGGGAGCTAAGAACTGGGGGGCAGGGCAAAGGCGGCCCTGGGGCCACCTTTGCCCTGCCCCCAGCCATGATCAGAGAATCAGGCGCCTTTGCCACCCTGGCCAGTGATAGCAGGAAGTAGGGGTGGAGCCAGCGATGGGAGCTGGGCACCGTCGAAGCTGGCAGTCCCAGGAGCCAGGAGTCCCTTGCCTGGGCCTAAAGCGAAGCCCATTATCGCGAGGCCACTGCAGC